CACAATGGAGTGGGAAAGTAGAGTGGACCACCAGCAGTCTGAGACACTAACTTGTTGAAAGTAGTCTGTGCTAGCCCCACTACTATTCGACATTGTATATTAGAAATATTAGTATATTAGAATATTAGAATTAGAGGGACCAGCAGTTGGCATAATGGCTATGTCGCTGGACTCCCATGTAGTTGACCACGGTTTGACTCCTGGACCCAGTGGATTGTACTCACACCAGGCGCTTGTGCGTGCATGCCCAAGATCCCGAGAGGAGAATGGAGGAGAAGAGATTGTGGCATGGCCATCCCTCCTGGGGGGTGATTTCTCACTTTCTGTCTCTCTGTCTCTCTGTCTTTCTGGCTAGCACACATGCCCTATAGCAAAAACCTCTCAAAAAAAAAAAAAGAATATTAGAATTAGAAATACTAGTATAACTAGACAGTAAAAATAAGGGACAATTCTAAGACTGGAAAAAAAGTGAAATTATCTCTGTTTGTATATAACACATTGGACTACGTGGGAAATCTTAGCAAATCATGATAAAACTAATTCCAAAAAATTCGGTTAAGATAGCAGGACATAAAATTAATGTACAGAAATGAATAGTATTCATATATAAGCAATAAACAACTAGTTAGAAAAATTTTTAATTTTTAATTTATTTAATTTTACTCTTTTATACAATCTGAGGAGAAACAAGAGTATGTTAATTTTACTCTTTTCAAAAAATTTGCTATATGGCACATGTGCTCACCAGAGAGAGGAGTGAAGGAGAGACAGAGAGAGAGAATGAGAGAAAGCAAATCTCCAGGTCCAGGACTCAAATTATGGTGAGCCATGTGGGCGTCCAGTACCTTAACCACCACACTACCTGCTAGCCCCACCAGCTATAAAATTTGATGTTAAAGAAAATCTCATACCTAATAGCAACAAAGATACAGAAAGAAATGTAAAAGAAATGTGTAAAACCTACAGGAGGAATATTTTAACGCAATCCTAAAAGACAGAAAAGTATACTTCAACAGGGACCCAGCAGTTAGTGTAATGGCTATGTCGCTGGACTCCCACGTAGGCGACCACAGTTCGCGTCCTGGACCCAGTGGCTTAAAACTCACGCCGGGCGCGTGTGCGTGCATGCCCAAGATCCCGAGGGGAGAATGGAGGAGAGGGGATTGTGGCATGACCATCCCCCCTGGGGGGTGATTTCTCGCTTTCTGTCTCTATGTCTCTCTGTCTGGCTGGCGAGCACACACGCCCTATAGCGAAAACCTCTCCAAAAAAAAAAAAAAGTATACTTCAACAAATGAAGAGACATCCCTAGTTGTTAGGATGATTATCATAAAGGTGTTGGTTATCCTTAATTTGTAAATTTAATGCAATTCCAACAAGCACTTTCATGAAGCTAGATAACACAAAAAATTCATATAGAAAAGACAAATATGTAAGAATGACCATAAAACACTTAAAAAAAAAAAAGAAAACAGGGAAAAGTTAACGCTGCGAGACATTGGAACATACTATATATTCTCCCCTGAGAAGACCTAGAAGCCAGTGATCCCCCAATAGCAATGAACACCTCCATCTTTGACTAGATCTTGGGCCCCAGTCGGAGGAATTTTATTTATGTATGTATTTTTCTCTTGCCCTAAAGGACATTAGTAAGAAAACTGGCACTCACTTCTTGGCCTTTCAGCTAAGTATAATAAAATAGCTGGCAAGATCTGAATAAAATCTATGGATTAGAAAAGAGTACTAGGGGGAACCAGCAGTTAGCGTAATGGCTATGTCGCTGGACTCCCACGTAGTCGACCACGGTTTGCGTCCCGGACCCGGTGGCTTAAAACTCACGCCGGGCACGTGTGCGTGCATGCCCAAGATCCTGAGAGGAGAATGGAGGAAGAGGGATTGCGGTGTGACCATCCCCTCTGGGGGGTGATTTCTCACTTTCTGTCTCTATGTCTCTCTCTGTCTGTCTGGCGAGCACACGCGCCCTATAGCAAAAACCTCTCCAAAAAAAAAAAAAAAAAAGAGTACTAGGGACCAGCCAGTGGTGTAGTGGTTAAGGCACTGGACTCCCATATAGCTGACCATGGTTCAAGTCCCAGACCTGGTGGCTTGAAAATCATGCTGGGTACATGTACATGTTTGCCCAAAATCCCAGGAGGAGAATGGAAAGGAAGGGACTGCAGCATGGTCATCCCCCTTGGGGGTGATTTTTCACTTTCCTTATCTCTTACTCTTTCTTTCTCTCTCTCTCTTTCTCTCTCCAGCAAATACGCTCACCGTAAGGCAAAAGCCAGAAATAAAAAAGAAAGAAAAGAGTACTATATTGGGCCTGTCAACAGCATGGTGGTTAAGGCAGCTGGATCTGACACAACCAACTGTGCAGTTCAAATCCTGAGCCTAGCGACTTGTTTTTTCTGGGCATGCATATATGTGTGTCCCAAATCCCAAAAGGATGGAGAGATGGAGGAAAAGGGATTACAGCATGACCATCTTCCATGGGGCTTGCCTTCTCATTTCTGTCTCTCGCTCTTTTGGTGAGTGCACGTGACCTCTGGCAAATCAAAATAAAGAGTACTGGGGGACCAGCAGATGGCATGGTGGTTAAGATGCTAGACACTCCCACATGGCTAACCATGGTTCAAGTCCTGGGCCTGGTAGCTTTCTCACTTTCCCTCTTTCTCTCTCTCTCTCTGACCAAATTAAAATAAATGGATGAATAAATAAAATAAATAAAGTTAAATAATTCTTTAAAAAAATAAAAAATAAAGAGTACTGCATCATTGTTTACACCAATGCTGGCAACGGTGGCTATTTAAGAATGTCACTATTTTTTAGGATACATACTCTGAAATATTTAAGAGTATCATATCCACAACCCACATTTAAATGGCTTCAAAAGAATTGAAAAACATGATAAAGCAAAATATTATAAAATGTTGGGACCAGCAGATTACGTAGTGGTTAAGATGCTGGACTTCCATGTAGTCAATTGCAGTTTGAGTCCTAGACCCAGCAACTTAGAATTCATGCCGGGCATGTCTGTGTGTGTGTGTGTGTGTGTGTGTGTGCCCAAAATCCTGAGAGGAGAATGGAAGAGAAAGGATTATGGCTTGAGCACCCATGGGGGTCAGTGATTTTTTTTTTCCATTTTCTATCTCTCTATCTCTCTCTGTCTCTCCAGAAAAAGCACATGACCTAGAGTAAAAATAAATAAATACTCTAAAATAAAGTTAACATATGGAGAATCTTGGTAAAGGGCATATTGGAATTCTTTTTTTTTTTTTCTTGCAGTTTTTTGCTATAGGGTACTCATCAGAGACAGAGAGAGAAAAACATCCCCCCAGGGAGGATAGCCACACTGCAATCCATTCTCCTCCAGTCTCCTCATGGAACTTTGGGTATACACAAGCACCAAGAATGATTTTCAAGCTTCCAGGTCCAGGACTAGAACCGTACAGTAAGCCATATGGGATCCAATGCCTTAACTCCATACCACCTGTTAGTCCAGGAATTCTTAAACTGTTTTTTCATCTTTTCTGTAAGTCTGAAATTATTCCAAAATATAAAGTTTTTTTTTTTCAATGAAACAGTATGAAAAATATTAGCTTAGGGGTCCTAAAGATGACACAGAATTGTGATTGGTCATTAGAGCTCTATCTGTATTTAAACTCTGGTCTGGGAAGACCGAGGTCCCTTATTGTAAAGGAACCCACAACATAGTAAATACAGTTCCAGGGGAAAGTTGCTAACCTAGCACTCCATTGCTCTTTATGTTTACTATTTTCCTATTTATTATTTTTCTTTTTATTTATTTATTTAATATATTTTAGTTTAGTTTATTTTCTTTTATACACTCAATCATTATACAACACTTAGCTTGTAAAGTGATCATCAACAGATAATAACCCATTTCTGTGTCCCATAAATGTCTTGCTTTCTATTTTTCTCCTTAATGTCTTCAAAACTATAGAATAACATTCATGTGAGAAAACGTGGAAAATGCAGAAAGGCATAAATCTGAACATGAGCCTAGTGTTACTACATTCATGTGCACAATTAAACAGGCCTTTTTATAAAACTGGGATCACACCCTGCTTTATAGACCTTGTACATGAAATGTTATCACAGGCATCACTCTTGCTATTAAAATGTTTTAGGACTGGCTCCATGGCACAGTGGTAATACACTGCTCAAGAGAAGCCAGATGCCACACAGCGACCTCAGTGCAAGTCCCTCACTCAGTCAGCCTGAAACACGCTGGGCACAGCCACCGGTACCCGAGATCTGACAGGCTAGAGGACTGCCACAAGAGGGGATGGTGTGACAAGACCTCATGGGGTTGCTCCTCTCTCTCTGTCTTTCTCTCACCCTCTTTCTCTCTCGTATGTACATGCTTTATCATGAAGAAAGAAAAAACAATAAGGTGGCAAAGGTTGAGTTAGTCATATTCCTCAATTAACGACACATGTGTGTTATATTTACATGATATAACATGCTGTTCTTAAATGTGTGTGTGCGTGTGATGTTTTTAGACAGGGTCTTCACATGTAATGATCCTCCTGCCTCAGACTCCCCAGAAGCTGGGACAACAGGCCTGTGCCAGCACTTGTTCTTAATTTTTCACTCAGCATGTTTATAAACTCTACTTAGTCCATGGTTTCTGACTGCTACAGATACTCAATTAGATACTTTGAAACGTGGATATTAACGACTGCATAATATCCCATGGAAGGAACATCCCATTATTTCAATCTGTGTCCCTGGTGTTGGAAAATAGGTTGTTGCCACTCTCTTCCTTGTTCCTTTTCACTCCAAAGAATAAGAATCAGACCTAATCTGTGTACCTCTCTACCATGTGACCATGTACAAGTTGCTTAACATCGGTGAGCCTGAACTGTCTAAATTTTAGGATTTAACGTGGACTTGTTGCATGTAAAGTGTCAGAAAGGGTGAAGGGATTACTATGGACAACGTACTTGGTGACAGCAAAGATCGTGTCTTACCAGGCTTAGTTCAAGGAGCCCAGTTTCTGGTGTGAGGAGACCAGTCCACACTAAGTCCATGGGAGGCAGGTCTGCTGGGGCATCTTCAGCAAATACTCCCCTCCTCCTCCCATCCCCTAAAGAAGAAAAACAGATAAATAAATAAGTGAGGAGAGAGAGGAGGAGTCTAGGAAACGTAGAAGCAGGGGTGTTGTGCTGCTCCTGGATTCATTTCCTGGGACAAGATAATGGCGGTGCACTTCCACTCCCCAGCTGTCTGACCAACAGTGGGACTGGCAAAGCACCCCGGAGTTACCACAACCTAAAGAAAGACCGGGAAAGATGGCAGTCCAGCCTCCAGAGTCGGAGGTACAGGAAGCAGTGACACCCCCAGAGTAAGAGGCCAGCGTGGGCATGGCAGGGATGTCTGGGCCCACCATGGGCCCAGAAGGCTGCCAGAGGTCTCTAGGGACATGCCAACTCTCTTTTCTTCCCCCAGAACCTCCTCATTAAGGTGAAAGAGAGCCAAAGAAAGGATAGAGAGAGTGGGAATCCTGCAGAGACTACAGTGGGGGTCCATGTTCCACAGAAGTCCCCGTGTCAGCAGATGCTGGGTGAAGTCACCAGATGAGAGGCTGCAGGTGTCTGAGTTCACCTGAAGGAGCGTCCAGGCTGTTAGGAATGATGCTGGACACCAGCAGGAGTAACACCACAGCAGAAGCTAACGGAGAAGAACCAGAGGGTAAGCAGAGCAAATTCTGCACCTCCTGTGAAATTATTTAAGAGTTCAGGGGCTGAAAGGAGCAAAGGACCCCCTCCCCCCAGAGTGGCTGGAAATGAGCATGAGGTATCTTCTGAGGTGAGGAAAATGTATTAAAACTGGATTGGGGAAATGGTTGCCCGACTTTATAAATTCATTAAAAATCATTGAATTATACACTTACCATGGGTAAATTTTATAGTATATAAACTATACCTCAACAAAGCTGTTTCTAAAAATAGGAAAAACCCTTGGGTGGAATGTTTAAATGGAAAATGTAGCCTTAATTTTAATAGGCAGAACAAACTAGAAATAGCCCAGATGCCTGAGGTCCCAAGACAGGATAATTATGCTGCCTCCGCAAAGCCAAAGTTAGCAGAACTCCATTCTTAGAACGCAGCCGTCTGCACCCTCACTGGTAGCGAGCGTGTTCATTAGACCTGAGTCTGCGTAGAGCACCTGGCAAGGCCAGGCATGTGTGCACCCAGTCATCGGCTGATGCTGCTTTATTAACTGTTCGTGGCAGATGGTCAGTGCCATGCTGGGTCCCCTGGACAGGTTCAAAGAAGCAAGGACAGGTAGGCAGGATACCGTGAGCATCCTGGGTCAGCAAGGCCGTGGGTAAGGCTTGGGTGGTGTGAGTCAGTCAACAAACCAAGACCAACAGGACAGTGTGAGAAGGCCCGCAGCCTTAGCCAAGAGAGACTGGAGTCAGGGAGATCAGAGAGAGGCTGGAGTCAGGGAGATCAGAGCCCATTAAACTAGTCTGCAGGGAGCCTCGGGCTGCCTAGGTTCCAATAAAACTCTGTTCCTTGTTTAATCGCCATAAGCCCCAGCTTTGTGTATAAACCAGGGTGAATAAGAACACCCAGTTTTATGGCACCATCCAGAAGATTCACAGAAACCAGAAGCATCACATCATGTACTCCGCCAATCCTCAGTTACAATCGTCACCCCAGAACCTACAGGCCCAAGGATGACGAGCTCTTACAGAGAGCATGGCTTCTCAACAGGTTTTCCCAGTGAAAGTGAAGTCATCTTTCTGCATCTTTGAAGGAAAAGAAATATTAATAGCAAGGGCTTGGGGGGAGGGGGAAGGAAATGCCAATCATAAAATCAAAAAGCAAGTCTTGTTACCAATATTGCCATTTTAAAATGGTCCTTTGCTCACGTACCTGTAATCAGATCCAATTGTCAGTTCAGACCGGAAGGGCAGGAGGTGACGAGCGCTGAGGGTCCTGCCTCGCAGAGCCTGTGCGCTGCAGCTCTCCACCTGCAGGAAGCCGCCTGCTCTTCGCCTCCACCGCTCTGCAGGAGGTAGGCTTGGTGTCTGAGCAACTCTGGGAAGTCAACAGCAGGTGGGCCTCACAAGCCGGTGATCACAGAGGGGAATGGGTGGCCGGCCACCCCAGACAGCGACA